TAAACTTATCAGTGTTAATTCCATTGGAATTATCAAAATCAATTTTTCTTGATAAATTTTGCTGCTGAGGTAATTGTTCAATGTTATCTGGTCCATTTGATCCACTTACAATGTCATTTTGAACTTCTGAACTATTTGAGTCAACAGTCATTTGGGAAACATTATAGAGTTCCTTTACAAAAATTCGTCTCCGCTGTCTTGGCGTTAAACAAGTAATGTCTAATCTTAATTTTGATTTAGACATAATATAATTTTATGAAATAACACGAAGAAATGGAAAGCTAGATTGCGATTATATGCACGAAGATTTGGGTTTGCGTTTAGGCTTATGTTATGGTTATATTCTCCTTTTCCGCTGAATATGTATTTAGGAAAGCTGGAATATATATTTATTATCTGGAGAATAAAAAATATTTTGATAAATAAAAGAGGTTCTTAAGGGAAAGATCTGCAGTTATGTTAAATACAAACTAATCCAAAAATTAAATTATTTACATTAATCTTATATTAAGATTTACCATTACAATTACTATATAGAAAAAAGATAATAAACCGGTATGTAATAAATATTCAATTTAATGCAAAATTAAATATTGTAATCTGAAGAAAACTACAGAAAAAAAACTGTAATTATTAGGAGACAATAAAATGCGATGTAAATTTGCACTCGAAATGTCTAAGCTTCTAATGATTCAGAAAAGCGGTGCGAATAAGTTTTTTGTTTCTTCTCATTATCATAATTGCCTAACAGATGTTGTAAAAAGACATGAGAAACATAGGCCGCTTTCCGATATTCACTGCCAGTACCGAAAATTTATAGTGTGCGTAACATAAACTATAGATTTTTATTATTGGCAGTGAATATCGGAACGCAGCCATGGTATTGCATAAAATAAATTAAACTCACTGCCAAATATAGAAACAATGTAGTGTAAAACGAGTACGTCGCCAGTACGTCGTGGGGTGTGTCCTTTATGTTCACATTCACTGCATAGAAACAATAAGACAAATTTAACTTCACAATTGATTTTTTACCGCAAAATAACTTTTCACTTATAGCGTTTTTGATTTGTTGACTCGACCCGACTCGGATCAGATCAAAAGTTTGGGTTAAAACTCGATGACTTTAAACTATGAAGGCAGAAAGCGTTTCTTAACCTCCATGAAAGAAATTCTTAGCATTATCGCAGCATATAAGTATTTCATTATCATTTTTCCGAACTTTTGAACCCAAGTCGGAGCGAGTCAACAAGTCAGAAACACTATTAATTAATTAATGCAGTTTTAACCTCATACTTACCAAGATTTTTACACTATCTATACACTGTTGTGTCAAAAAATCACGGTCGCGCGAAAAAGCGCGGGCGATTATCGTTTCCGTGGATTCCGCCATAGTAAAAGCTGAAGCCAGAGCTGCGGTCCGATTCACACTCACAGCGCTGTAAGCATCATTCTGTCTTTGTTGCACATCGAATATCAACCGAAGATAGAGCAATATGCTTTCAGCGCTGTGAGCATGAATCGGACCGCAGAATTGGTGATCGGTACCACGGTCTTACATATTTTTATTGCGCGCTTGCGCATACTCAAGCCAATTAACGGAATTAATTATCCAGTAAAGTATAAGGGCGTATTCATATGAACTTATATAACCACATAAAGCACAGAAAAATTTATCGCGCATCTTGTATAAAAAAATATGAACAATATGGGCCAATATCACAGTCTCCGATTAACGTGATCCTTCGATTAAACTTACTCTTTGTCTCTTTCTAGGGGGACAGTTATAAAGAGATGCAGAGTGAATTTAATCGGAGGATCACGTTAATCGGAGACTGTGATAGCGGCCCTATGCTCAGCAAACACTAAGTAACATGCTACATCATACATGCAATTAAGTTATAATTTCTTACTCAACAATATAAATGCAATACATATGTGTAATAATATGTGCAATAAATATTATAACAAATATATATATAATTTCTATGATTGCATCATCGCGGAATTAAAATGTTTTGTCTCTTATAAGTAATAATTATGATATTTATAATTAAATAACATATATACTAGAACTCTTTATTATATGTTTATTATTATATATATTATTTATACATATACATAATTGAGGCTATTGATAAAAAAAGAGCACATAAGCCTAATGAACCCTTTTTCTATCAATAACTTTAATTACATTTTTTGAGTCCAGTTTCTTTTATAGAGTACTTAATGACGTTAATGAAATTATACAAATATTATTAAAAGAATATTTTAATATTTAAAAAATGTTTAAAAATGTCCCAGATACGTTTTTGCAATAACATATATATTACATGCGCATATGTCAAATTTTCAAAATGTTCGAGAACGTTAACAAAGTTTATATATTTATTTTGTCTTTAAAGTGACATCGAAGTTTCGTTATTATAATTATGTAACGGTTACAAAGTTTTTACAGAACGTACATTGACGTCGACAAAATCATGTTAAAATATTACATGTTTAACATGACGTGACAATTATGTCATTTAGAGTAATGTAACATTTATGCAGATTTTAGAGTATGCACATTGACGTCGACAAAATCATTTTAATATTACATGTTTAACATGACGTGGCAATTATGTCATTAGAGTTATGTAACATTTATGCAGATTTTAGAGTATGCACATTGACATCGACAAAATCATGTTAATGTTACATGTTTAACATGACGTGACAGTTATGTCGTTAGAGTTATGTAACATTTATGCAGATTTTAGAGTATGCACATTTACATTTACCAAATTACATAAATGTTACATAACAAAATAACGTCAAAATTTTATAACTATCCTAAATAGCAATAACAGATTTATTACGTCAATGACATAACTGATACGTCATAGTTCGGTTATGCTGATTTGTAACATATACATATAGTATATTATGTAATTGTTACGAAAATGATCTTTGTGTGTTTACTGGGATGTTAAAAAACCAAAAACATTTAAAAAAAATTAGCGAGGATTCAACGGATATCTATTACAAAAACATTATCGAAAAGTACGAGAATCAAAATTATTCTAAATATTCTGAGGTTTGTCTTGCAGATTTTGCAGCAA